AAGTGGTTTGTTGGCGCGAAGTTTGTTTGGGAATACTGTCCAAATGAATCATTTCTCAACGTCAAACAGACAGGCTCGTCTTCACATGGTTGGCACAGTCTGCTGATGGGTCGTGACCTCCTCAAAACGCAGCTGAAATGGGCAGTGGGAAACGGTTCCAATATAAAGATATGGAGTGACCCATGGCTACAAACATCAGCCCATCATCTCAGACCTATGGGACCGGCAACAAAGGACGTAATAAACCTTACGGTATCAGATTTATTTCTTCCTAACACATTTAAGTGGGATAGAGATAAGATTGCACAAGTCCTACCGCAATATGCAATAGAAATACTATGCATAAAGCCGAGTCAACTAGGGGCTCCAGATAAGCTAACATGGCTTGGCAAATCCACAAGCACGTACACTACAAAGACGGGATATTTTGTTGCCATGGAAAACCAGAAAGCAGAGGAGGAGAAGCTACGAGAAAACAACTTTAGTTGGATTTCGGACGTGTGGAAGCAGAACATAAGTCCAAAACTCAAATTATTCCTTTAGAAAACGGTCAACAAAGTTCTACCAGTGGGTGAGAGATTAACGGCAAGACACATCCCTGTAGATTCCCGGTGCAAACGTTGTGGAGAGATTGAGACCATACCTCATCTTTTGTTTTAATGCAGTTTCTCCCAAAAAGTTTGGGACGCAGCACCGTTTGAACAAACCACAGAACCGAAAGGCTGGACCAAGTTTGAATCCGCTTGGGACCGGGTAAAAACAAAAGATGTGCACCACCGACTGGTATAAAAAACGGACCCCTATCCCCCTGGATTTTGTGGTCGATTTGGACCTGTCGAAACAAGCTCGTATTTAACGATAGAGAATGCTCGCCAGCTGAAACACTCACCTCAGCCATCATCATAGTGAAAGAATGGATTGTGGCACAACAAATCCCACCTACTCCTACTCCTAACTGGAACCAAGACAAGTATGCTCAGACAGGAAGGACAGAGATGCAAACTTGCCGATCGGACGCAACCTGGCATGAGGAAACCAAAACCGCAGGTTTGGGATGGATCATCAAGACATCGGAGAACAGAGCCATAGAACATAGAAAAGTTACGACATACGTCTCTTCCCCTCTTATGGCCGAAGCTCTGGCTCTGCGTGATGCCATGTACTACTCTTTGGAAAACGACATCAAGAAGTTGAGGTTCGAGTCCGACTCTTCCCAACTAATCAACGCCATCACTTCAGGATAATCTCTTCTGAATCTATATGGCCTCATTGAAGATATTAAGGCACTTGCCCAAGCTTTTGAGCATGTCTCCTTTGCTTGTATTAACCGAAATTTGAATGTAAGAGCAGATGGTCTAGCTAAGTAAGCTCTTAACTTGAGAAATGTAATTTTGGGATGATATTAATGAAATTCTATGTTTCTGACCAAAAAAAAAAAAAAAGAGTTTGATGGTAGCTTTTAGAAAAATGAAATGACAAAAGATTTATGATGTAGAGATAGTTATTAAGCCTTCATCGTAAAATATGGATCATAATCACAAAATTGTGTTTCCATCATAATTTTTGTTCATTCCATCCAGATATGAATCAAGTGTCTTACGGATTCCATTGCCTTATCAATAAGGACCAAACCCATTATTTCCCACTAATTGCTAATGT